ACGCATTGAATCTTGTTTTAAAAACAATATCATGAAAGAGACATTAAAAAAGGACCCACTTTTAACTGCCAAAAACTGGGACCAAACTGATAAGGTCTTTTTCCTGTTCTATCATCTTTCCTTTCGTCTTTCACCTTTCACAGATTCCTGGGGGGGTACTCCGTTATAAGGGCTTAATGGGGACGTGCGGCCAGCCAGGGTATGTTTTTCGGGATTTTTGCCTTAAACAGGGTATCGATTTTATCAATTTTTGTCTTAAACAGGGTATCTTTTCTTAGACAAGAGCCCATAACCCTGTTCTTAGACGATAAACAGCCTGCGCTTATGTTCTACGAATGTCTTAAACTGGGTATCGAAAATCGGAATTCTGTCTTAAACAGGGTAGGAAAATCAGGATTTTTGTCTTAAACAGGGTCAGGGTATGAGGGGCCGAGCCGCACCTCCCCACCCAAGGATATATCGAGTACCCCCCCCGGGGGGGCACTGATTCCTGATATTTAGTCCGTCAATGAAACCAACGATGGTAACTCGGGCTTGATTCAAGTCCTGTGGGTCTTATCCCTATTTTTCCTTCCCCCTGGGTAATTTGTACGCGAAGAGAAAGGTTTAATTCTGGTTTACTCCGACTTCTCTTAAAGTGAAATGAATGTCAAATAAGTGATTAAATTTGTAAATTTTTCACAGGAAACAACAGAGGCGGGATTCATTTTGTTTTTGTTTGAAATTGTCTTGAAAGAAACTGACTAACTTTTCACTATCAAATGCACCAAAACCCACCATTTTTTCCATACATGAGCTTTATATTCAGGTGTTTTTCAAACGTGTCGCGTTCGCGCGTTAGTAAATTATCTATTATTACAGACACGGGATAATAATAAGCAATTAAATGAAGCGCGTCTGACGTCACGCTTAAAGAGCCTTTACCTTGAAGCTAGTGTTTACAGTTCTATCAAACATGTGTAATCACTTATGCACATTGTACTAGCTTAGATTTCACTTCTGTTCCAAGTCGAGGATCGCGAATATGTCAGAAGGCGTTTTTACTTCGTTGCACGGAGTTTTATCTATCTAGCGTGATTGTAGCCTTCAAGAACCATGCGAATTATGTCTTCTTTAAATGAATCACACGTGTGGAAAGCAAACCCACTTGCTGTCGCAAATATTATGCAGACTTAAAGTACTTCTAAATTTGCTTTGGTGTTGTAAATCTCTTAACCTTGCTGTTAAACCTCTTCAGAACCGTAGAAATCACTGCGTTGAGACGTACCATTTGGTGTTTTTGGAACAAACGGGATACCAGAACCTACCTCATATTTTTCAAGGTTTGCTTCTCACCAAGAAAGTACGGAGATTTCGTGTCTTCAACAACTGCGATGCAGTACCGAGGATTTGTGCTTATTCTATGGTCGGCAGTTATTTATTCTGACTTTGGAGGATGGCGGGATGTTGGATTTGTAAGCGGTCTTCAGCCAAATAGCGAGAGACTCTTCAAACTCAATAGCTTGAGAGACAGTTTACCAAATACGCGACTGCGTGCTCGCCGGGAGTTAAGCCGACTGCGACCCCGGGGAAAATATAAGTACAACCTGAAGAAGACAGCCATTCGGCATGCACGGAATAGAAATGCCTTGTGTTTAGGTAAGATAAATAAGTCGTTATTTCAGCGAGGGCGTTCTTTTTGTGTTTTGATTCGACGGGTAGAATGTACTGACTGAATCGTGGCATAATGCGCGTATGCAGCTCCTACCTTTTACCCGGGGGTCGAATTTCAATGTTTGGGATTGATTGTGCTTTTATGCCTTTGCTTATATAAGCTTTTCATTTCTACTGGGTCATTTGCAGCAGTGTCTTAGCACAAGTCTCTTCTGCACTAAGACATTTGTAACTGAGAGTACCCTGGGGGATAGTTTAAGGTTTTGTGCGGCGGACTTAGCACTTACAACGTATTGAATGAACAAAGTAAACTGCTTTGATCTTGAAAGGAAAGTGCTTGTTGACGTCTTCCTGGTTTGCATTTGTGTTAAAAAAATCAATTGTACAGCATTTGCAGCGTTGATTAGGTCAAAGCTGTACACAGTCAGAAATGTATTAGTCTCTAATATCTTCGAGTTTTACGCTTCCTTTTAGTGTGCGTACGCGCGAGTTATGGATATTCCAAAGATGTCTTTGTTCTTTGCTTTCTAATTTATGCATGCGCGAGCGGCGAACACTTTGTAGATTGAAAACATCCGTCTGTTTTGTCTTGCTGTTGTTAGAGCGTGAAAAATGACTGTCATTGGTATTACTTTAAGGCATATTTATCAACTGACTCTATTGCTAAAGAGCTCAATCTCCGTAAATATCCATTGTCTACCGCCAAAGTAGCAAATTGTCGGAATTCGCGCTTTGATGGTTTTTGGCATTTTAAACTTGTGTTTTCAATTTGCGGCTATTCAGCTTAATGGATTTTGTACTCAATAAGATTTTGTGCCGAATAAATTTTTTGACAATCCTAAGGCTTTTCAAACTTTTATTATGTGAAATTTACGGCTAGTCTCAAGATTACCAGCCCATTTTCTGTTATGATTGCAGCTGCTTTATAGTTTATTTCTTTAGTGATTAATGATTCGAGAAACAGCTTGAAAAGTCGTGTATACTTCTGGGTGCATATAGATCAGATGTTCTTGATGTGATCAATCTGGAAATTCAATCAATTTTCCCATCTTGACGCCAGACGGTGTGCGCGCTGACCACGGCTGTAGATGACAACGCCGATTCAAATCAATAACTCGGATTTCCAATTGTAAAACATATTTTCTCAATAATAACAATAATAATAATAAATGTTTTTTTACTCTAAATATTGATATGCTTTGTTCATTTGAATAAGTAACTTAAGTCCTACACTGGCTGCAAGCTAGTTAAACCTTGTGCATTTCATGTTGATAATGTGTCATATTCTTAACAGATGGTTCTGAAGCAGTCTTTTACCTGAGTCGCAATCCAGATTCAAAGCACTGGGTTGTTCAGCTGCAGGCTGGTGGTTCATGTGGCACATATGATTCATGCTTAGATCGATCAAGAAGTTTGTTGGGCTCTTCAAGAAACTACTCCGATTTTATGACAGGAACATTTGTTGCTTCTGATGACCCAGGAGAGAATCCCATGTTTTCATTATGGAATAAAGTATTTGTGCCGTACTGCAGGTATGTACCTACTTGTAAAGGTATAAACCCTCTTACAATAGGCTTTATTACATCAAATAATTCAGGCTACTCCTGTTATTGTGGACAGCTTTGGGAATGTAGTATTAATGATTCATGGTCAGGGGTTTACGGATGATATTTCTTTGAAAATATAATTTTTGATTAGCAGTGTAAAATGCATTCTTGATTTATATATACTTTCTTACCAATGTGAACATAAATAAGAATATTTATAGACACAGGACAGGCAACCTTCCTCAAGGCAGCAATTCCAATTAGCTACAGTGAAAAAAGCTGCATAAAAATTGAGGATTTTTTTTTTTTTTCAGTGGCGATGTGTTTGTTGGTAGACGTGGAAAAGACAAAAATGACTATCGAATGAACATGTTCGGACATTTTATCATCAAAGCTGTATTTTTACAGCTGATAGAGGACTACCCCATAAAAAATCCTGAGACAAAGGTACAGTGTATATAACAACAGCAACATCAACTTTTTTACAGCTTTTATTATTAGTTACAATGTCTGTGGCCTGCAAAAACTTTTGGAACTCCCAAAAACTTAACAGGTATAACAGCCTGGATTATCTCTTTCTTGCTTTGCAAAACTGCAATTTGATTGGTGGATTATGTACAGTACTGTACCTGGAATGTATCATTGCCTTTATAGATCCTGTTTGGTGGTGCATCCTCTGGTGGACTAGGCATGTTAGCCAACATTGACTTTATTCAAAAGCTTGTTCAACCTGCTGAGGTATAAACATGTATTTTGCATTGATTTGTAATATTACACATGAATAAAAAGTTATTATTATTATTATTATTATTATTATTGTTTTAATGATTGTGATTATTATTACCAGGCAATGACAAAAACAATATCTGCTTATGATCAATAAAGTTTTGTTGTTGTTTTTGTTCTTGTTGTTCAATGACGAGTGCTCAGACCACTCTGATCTTTAATTGGTCACCTGATCAGAAGCATGATCAAGTGTACAGTTTAGTTAAAATCAAAGAGTAACATTTTTTCAATTGAATGAAAAACTATATGCCAAATTGCTCCAGATTGAAGTGAATACCGTGATAGACCATAATTTCTTGGTAAATAGTAGTAGGTATAGGTTATTGTACGTGATGTGCTCTAGCAAAGCCTGCCCAGTGGCTCCTGCAGAGTGTGTAACTGTTACTCCTAGGTGACTAAAAACACCAAAGTTTTTTCATAGATCGTGCTGACCCCCCTGAAATTCACAGGTTCAGAGCACTAGGCTCCCTTCAAGTTTTCTTACAGCACAGCCTTTATTTTATTTTATTTCAATGTCAATATCCTCAGCATCAGATTTGTCACTGATCAGTTTTGCTGGATCAGACTCTACTTTAACTTGGCAGGGAGGTGATAAAAGAAAGAGAAAAAGGCAAGAGGGGTTGGGGGGGTGGAGGGGTGATTATTTTAAATATATCTTTCTAAAGGGGGGTCATTATTCTAGGGAGGCAATTAATCAAGGGAAGGCTATTATTCGAGGAAATGCAGTAATTTTTGATAGGGTATCACCACATTTTTGCTCTCACACAAATTATTGATTTTTTTGTCAGATAAGAGGTTACAATGATGGAGGATGGTTCACTCTCTATCCTAATTTTGGTGAAACAGCAAATACAGGGTTACCATTCTTCTTTAAAGTATTAGGATACGTAAGTCTATAACATGCCACATTAATTTAATTATTCGGGTAGTGGTTTAAACAGTCTTCGAACTCAGGACCAGTGCAGGGCACTGCCTGACCCTCACCACTCAGCCATGCATACTGCTTCTAAATAAGTACAGTGAACAGTTGGAATTATGGGTTCCCTAACCCTGTTTTTTTTTAAGTTACTTTTAAACGCAGCAAGCTTCGTCATATTACTTGCACATCAATGCAGACCTGTGATCAAACATGCGTAACAATTTAAAATTGCTTAACAGTGATCACTCTCTGAGACAAACAGAGATGGAAGCAACCGGCACCAAGTGCCCATCTTGTAGAGGTGTCACCTTTCACAGAATAAAAGAACTATAGAACTAGAGAGTGGCTGCAGTGAGAAGTTCTGGGTGCCGGCTGTTATAGAGATTTCCATGTTTAAATAACAGAGCTATAGGTTACTGACTGTTGGGAAAAAAAACACCCCATTTTTCTTTGATTGTGGTTTTAGTTTAGTTTTTGATGGCTTTCACAGATAAAATGTAAAGATGGTCCTGATCAGGTAACAATCTACTGTAACTTTACGGTACATATCCTATACAAAGGAAGAACTTAAATAGTGATGGTTTGATTACTAGCAACTGCAGCTTTCTGCATCTTCCTGTTCTATCTCTTTTTAGATGTTTCACACTTTGTGGGATGGCTTTGTTGATGAGTCATGCAGAGCTAATATGCCCAAGGCAGAAGCTTGCTTATATGGAGAATTAGGCATGTATTAGTCTCGTCGATATACTGAAGATAAAATTTAAGACTAACTTAATGCGTTTAGTGTAAGTTAGGAACCTTTAACTGGTCAAAGGTTCGGCTTAACATGTAAGTTTACCTCTTGTCTTTTGTCACGACGGTTAGCACTTCCTCGAGGCTGTACATCGAAATCATTTTCTTTATTATCCACGTATTTTATCTTAGCACTAGACGATTTGAGATCTAGAATTTTCGGAACATTTGTTGTAAAATTTCTTGCTTGCCTGCCTCTGCTAGGATTTTCGAACAAATAAAAAATAGTAAAATTGATCATTTTCAACGGATTTTTACCCTAAAAAGGTCACCTAGAATTTTCGGGAGCCTTTTTTCTGGCTGAAATTTTCGATCAGGTAAGTTTTGATCCCTATAATTTTCGGATCACTAGACTTTCAGCTAGGAAATCCGAACAGATGAAAAATTTATAGGGGATAAAAATATGCCCATATCCACCGTTTAAATACTAAAACACGTTTAACAATTCTATGTTTAAGTGGTTTTCAACTATATTCTCGTTGGGTGCCCCTGACAAGTCCAAATTAAATGTAGGTAAACCTATAAACCTCATACAAAGCAGCCACGAGTAAACTGGTCGGCGGCGTCAAGTGGTGTGAAATTTACAAGGATCTAATTGTCCCAATACTAAGGACCTTAACTAAACAATGTAATCAACAACTCTGAAAAGAAATACATTTTTCCCAATGTACAACTTGTGATAAAACTCTTGACAATTGCTTCTAAGTTCTTTCACATTTCATCTTATCCGCGTGCATACAGTGTATGTACCCCGGCATAATTTATGAAAAGACAAAAATACAAATTCTCTTGAGACCTACATTGGGAAAACGAACATACAAGCCAAAGAGGTCTATTAGACGACGTTAACTCTTTAAGTGCAAAGGATGACCAACTTCAGTTGTCTCCTAACAATACAATATCCATACATTATCGAAAGAAAAGGTTACGAAAGGTTCTAAAATTATCACCAAAGGGAAAATTCTTTCATTATGTTTTAGCAAATCCGTTCAACTAATTCTTTAAGGAAATACATTGAGTCTGGAGAATATTTCCGTGGATATTGGAACTAACTTACGCTTTATGAAAAAACTGACAACTTTTCATTGGAAGGAAAATTTTGTAGTCTGTATCTAAATAACTCCTCAAATGGACTTACGTTTGAAAATAATGAAGTACCTCGGACGATTTTGACGCCTTACAAACATTTATCGGTCTACTTCAAACGAAAGGTAATAACACTGGAGATCTTTTTTTTTTCTTTTGCAGTTTTCAAGTATTTATCGGCGCCAGTTTACGTATTTGTGGCGCAGTGGGACTCTTATCAATTACAACAACTTGTTCATTCACAATTTCCCACAATGAGACTTCCGCCTGAGCTCCCAAGTGAAGCAGAATATCTTGGCAAGTTTGGTAAAAATACTCACAGGTCCCTAAGAAGGGTAAGCTACAGGCAAGCCTTTTTCTACATAATACATTGTTGTTACATTACTTACATAATATAATACAGATCTGTCTTACATGCTACATTTTACTTGGTTACACTGCGTTAAAATTAGCTTGTTACATGTGATGACTTTCAAAGCTACAGAACTAGAACAAAAACTATTTCCGAAGTAGTTTAGTATATCTGAGTACTTGCAACCTCGCGCACACATCCGCACCTACATGTATGTAGGTGTACACTGTACTGATTATCTTCCGAGAATTGTCAAAACAGCCTCTAGAAAATAGCGTGATTGCTGTTCTCCTTATATCTCGACAGACAACAAAAAACAACAAATTTTATTGAATCGAAATTTTGAGAAAGACTTAAGATTATTTTCCCGGATAAAGGCTCCCCATTTTGCATTAAATTTTCTCAAAGTCTCAGTTTTACCGCATAACGTCTGTCATGGTCAAGACAATTTAATATGGTTCGAAAAAAGAATTTTCTGGAAGGGCTAAGGAATTTTGTTTGAAGAAATGGAAGTGATACCTCGCGACTAAAATTGCATGATAAAAAAGCAGGTTTGTAGTATCGTTCACGGAGCCTATGCAAAACACAAAAGAAAATTCCCCGTTGGGAAACCAAGAACTGTTTTTCATCCGGTTACCAATTTCATTCCAAACCAATTTAGCGAAGCAGCATTCCCATAAAGGTGCTAAAGAGTTTGCGAGCGTTCTTTGCAGAAGCAACATTGCTCACTGGACGTGATTCCAATTGTAAAAAGGAAATAGTTCGTTGTTGCATGGTAGAAATGCCAGGGTATAAGGCTTATCCGAGTCTATCGTGTCAAAGTCACCAGAGTTACAATCCGTCAGCCATTTTCCTGACGTTTGTATTACAAGGGATAGAGACGCTTTAAGTTAGAAATATTTTTTAAGCCAGTTGTCAACAGGCTTTTGGTGTCGGTTTTAGCACTTTTCATTTGCGGACAATAGTTTTTGCGTCAGTTTAGATTCGAGATAGCACATTCCACTCCGTGATACTACAGAAAGTGAGCTTTTAACGCATGAACGTTTGCTTGAAAGTATCAAAAGTTAAAAATTGTGAATGCTCTTCCAAAAGATCACGTATGAGGAAAATACCTACCCAAGGCCAGTTACGATAATAGATAGGCTTGTTGTGGATACTTATAAGCAGGCCTTACCAAAGCCGACAGCAGGCTGTGTCATTCACATCAATATTGATGATATTAACATTATCAAATTATTAATATTTGCAGGTCATCAACAGCCAAAAAGATGGTGTGTTTTCACCGGCCTGTTTCATGCATTCATTCTCTGTTGATAATCTTACGTACGATGCCCGGACGATGGGCTGTGAAATTAACGGTAAGACACTACGAAACGAACGTTTATTGTAACAAGAAGACAAAAAACGCAGAGCGATCTTTTAACGGCTAAATGGTATGTCAACGTTTCATAAAATTGGTGGGTATTGAAGCATTTTTAAAACTAAATATGTTGTGGCTCTCCCAAAAAATTTATATCACATTCTAGGGAGGTTTTTATGTATTTTTCCGGTTTTTTTCTTTTTTCGGGGGATGAAGGCCAATGCAAAAAAAAAAAAAACAAATGTAAATTGGAACTGCTCAAAAGCTTCGTTATGAAGAAAAGACATGCATGAGTTTATTGGCTTGAATGACGTTAAGCTAGAGGAGGCAATAGGGGAAAAGCTGCCTGGAATTAGGATCTACAAATATCGCACTTGGAATCTGAATATGGATTATGTTATTAGCAAGCTGAACTGCAGAATAAACTTGCTCAAAAGGTAAAAAAAAATCTTTGGACTGTAGGAAATTATTGTATAATTCCCTCATTAAACTAATTTAATACTGCTGTACGGTATGGGGAAACTTTTTCAAGGAACAGTTGGACAGATTGTTACGATTACAGAAACGCTGCCCCAGAATGATACTAGATGCTAATTTTGGGGATAACTCCGTAATGTTATTTACTAAATTAGGTTGGCTTCCAATTGACGGTATCATTCGTACAAGAAAACTATCTCTTCTCCACAAAATCTATAATGGCCGTGGCCCGGAATATCTTTCCCCTAATGTTAACTATGGCAAGAGTAGCCATGATTATAACACGAGAACCTCAAGAAGAAATGATCGTATCTCGCCTAAGTGCAAGAAAAATTCAGGCCTCAGAACATTCCTTTCCAGTGCCACTCGTCTGTGGAACAAAACCGAACCACGGCATCTCTTAGAGACACGCTTTCACAGAAGCGCTTTTTAACAGACCTCCAAAGGAAAACTGCATGAATTTTAATATTAAGTAAATTTATTAATTATTTTATTAATAATTATTCTAGTTTTTGAGTTTTCTTTTAGACGAGCTTAGGGAGAGCCATTATGTAAACTACCGAGTATTGGTGTTACCCTGGTTGAAAAAATTGTTATTATTGTCTGGTGGGCCTTAGCAAGTTCGGCTGTTGGTACAAAGAATAACGCAAATTTCAGGCTTTTTCTCGAAAAGCACAAAACGTTCTGCATTTTTCCGGCCAAACTATAATTTCATTCTCTTCTATACAACATCAATTAACGATAGAATGCTTATTAAATCTAACCGAGCCGAGCCCAGCCTAGGCCTCCAGAACTTAACAGACTGCTCCGTGTCCCTTGTGAAACAAAGAAAGATGTGTCTAGAGTTAAATTCATGGTCTCCTCTCGACAGGCAAAACACCATACAAGGCGTTTACAGAATGGTTTGTGAGCAATGGAACACGAGGAACGTATGTAGAGGAACCTGGCGATAAACCTGAATGTAACCCTTCGTGCTGCTCCAAGCTTTGTTTAAAGTGCCGCAAACCCAAGCCAACAGTCAGGGTAAACAACGACGACGCCGCTCAAACGGTCTTAGAAAATGGTGGGTTATATCTGTCAGTGTTCACCGAAGTCGGACGTTCAGCCCGATTTCGGTTGTAAACTATTGTCACCATTGCGCTTCTTGGGAAAAAAAACGGGCAAGCGTTTCCTCTTCTCCCCTCCCCTTCCCTCCCCCCCCCTTCCATTTTTTTTTTTTTTTTTTTTTTTTTGCTCCCGCTCTAGCAACTCGACTGGAAACGCTTGCTACGCAGGCTATCCTGCTATAGAAACATCTAACTGGTGCTTATTAATTGGGCCTTTTATCGGAGATGAACTTCGTAAGTCGACCAAAGCAGTCGTAGCAGAAAATTTTAACCTTGATTTAGCTTCTATCAGACAGCTCGAGCAAGTGTATGCCCCAACTGGATGTTATTCTCGGACACACCATCACGGTCAATCCCATCGAGGGGGCATCTTTGAATTTGAATTTAAGCAAAATTTAAGGTACCGTGAACCATTGCCTTACTATTGTGTGTCTTTGTCTCCCTCGCAACTACTAAGGGATTTTACTGTTCTGTCTTGCTCAACTGACAAGGCGCGGTGTAGTCTGTCAATGACACACTTACCTGATGGTCGTGCCCGCCGGACAGTGTGGACTGCTTGTAGAACCTACTCCCCTCGGCATTTAGAACGTTCCATAAAATATTGCGCACGTTGAATTTTAATATCACTGTAAAGCGCAAGTCAGTGTTTATCCGTGTTTGTTAACATTCGTTTTGTGACCTGTCTTCAGGTTCAGCTTCTTCCTTACAGGCGGCACTCCAGACGTGGATCATGGTTTGTTTGGTATATATGTTAACGAGCTGGAGAGAGAATGTTCGTTTATGACAGACAAGCACAACAGCGTTTTGCTTAAACGCAATTTAAGACCCGCTTTGGATTGTTGGTTTATATTTACCACATAAATGCTGTCATCGCCTGAAGTCTTTGGATCAAGGGATCAATCATTTACGTAACGCTAGCAGTCAATGCGGTTTCACAGCTTGCTATGACTAAACAAGAAAAATCCTTTTATCCGGCATACATGGGATTTCTCAATTACATCTTACTCAGTGTGCTAACATTTAGGAGTAACAAAACATCCTCAGTGCTACATCGAGCAGTCGATAAACTACAGACTGAGAGTCAAACAAACATACTCAACATACCGAGCATTTCAAATCTCCATACCATCTGATATGATTATATAAGCTTAGCTTAGCTTCATTCAGCCTAGTTTCCAGTTAAAAAGTATAAAGCCCTGGAAACGAAGTCAAGCCTTGTTACTTGTGAATAAACATATCGCCCCATCAGCGCCACTTCCTATATGACTCACTCGAGTTTATTACTATTAATCGAGGACGAACGCAGATTGGATAACACTATCCTCCTAATTATAAACTCAAAGCCCAGCCTCCAGTTATTCAAAAGGTGGATAGCGCTATCCACCGGCGGATACATCATAATACATCGAATAGTGCAATTAATTTCCTCAATACATTGTTCACTAGATAGCGTTTTATCCGGCGGATAAATCATTATCCATCGGATAGTGCAATTGGTTTTCCTAATACTTGTTCACTGGATACCGATTTATCTTGTGGATAGCACTATACATTCAGACCATTTTTTGAACAACCGAGGCCAGGGAAACATTATAATTATTCTGTGCATCAAACCAAGGGTTTATTTATTTGCAGCACCATACACGTATGGAAGCACCCACAAAATCTAACAAGATTGAGTAAGGAAAAAGAACAAATGAAGTTCCAGTAGAGGTTTCGAAACTGAACATAATGACAGCACACGCATATAGCCGTTTCATTTACTCGTTGGATTTATTTATTTTCATTTTTAAAACTAGAAACAATGAACAATTCCATCAGGCGGCAAATTGGAAAAAATTACGCTGATGCTGCAAATGAATCCACCATTGATAGTACTGGATTTCAGGTGCACTGATCATACTGTGACATGCTTTGTACATTATACACAACTACTTTAGGCTAAAATTGTTCAGTTAATACCATTGTACTCAGCGACTAGAAGGTGTAACGGTAATTAATCTTCAGAGCAGGCCTCTGGGAGATCAGTTTCTACTCACAGTACTGTATTTTCTATATAAGATGAAGCAAATAAAATACAATAGGTAGGCGGTAAGCATTGAAGTCTCTGCTCTGTTGTAATCTTATTTTTTTGTTTTTCCTGGTGTGATTAGTAACAATGTGTCCTGAATATTGAACCGGTTGGAAACCGGTTTCGTACCCAGAGCCATGATCCACGGATCAGGCAGCCGTGGCGCTGACCAAAAGAATAAATGCACTGGGGACGAGAATCGTTTTATTAGGGTTGTCTTCAGTTCTGCAGTAACTGTTCCTGTTGAATTGTCTGCTGATTATTACAGTATGTTTACTGTGACTCCTAGGGAGTTCCAGTAGCGAGAGAGACAACAGTAGCCTCTTATGTGTATGCTGCTGCATAATAAGCCTGTTCTATCCGTTAAGTCAATGGGAGTGTCAATTCCATGTTTTCATTCGCGTCCCCAGTGTTACTCGGCTTTGTTCGCAACCAATGGGTGGAAGAGAGTGTGACCAAAAGAAACTAAGGGCCACTTATTTAAACAGAGGTTAGCCAGTGTTTAACGAAACCGCGTTCTAAGGCATTTTCAGTTAACCCAATGCTTTTATCGTGAACAGCCTTACTTCAAGGCATAAGTCGCAGAATAGAGAAGCATTTATCTTTTTAAAATATCCCATCACGGACAAGATCTGGAGGTCCGGCATAGACTTGCTAAATCTTGGCCTAAGTTAGACTTCGTTTAAATAACCATCCCTAAAGGTTCTAAGGCGGAGAATGCGCATAATTTAGAGGGAAATAAGTATATCTAGTGAGTACTTCAGATTCAGCTTCTAAAATGATGGGTCTTTTGAATCAGTGTCGAGCCTTTGCCGGGCCTTCCCGGATTCGACTACTGCGGTCTAGTTGATACGATCTAAATAGAACTTCCCCGTACTCCCTTCAGTAGCTCCTGGCCGGATCACCATATTAATGATATACAGTGAATTTGAATTTACATTCAAGGCAAAAGGACTAAAACGTCGGCGCAACTCCATTTTATCGTCTATAGTTATTCCTGACAGAGCACATTTTTTAACAGTTTTCTTTTTTCGCTTTTCTTGTTGCTGTTGTTCAGTGTTGTTTATTGGAAATGCTTGGTTAGGACCACCCTTTCATCTCAGAATATGTCACTGAATTGCGAACCAGCAGGGGTATTCAGTTGCAGAAAGAAGAACGCTGAATGCAGAATGTAGAACCCGGACGGAGGGGGATACTCCGCATATGAAAGGGATGGGGATGCTCGTCGTCTCGCTTAGGGGTGTAGCCGTGAAGGTCTCGTGTAGGGTTGCACGCGAAAAAATATATATTTGATATGTATATTTTCAATTCGTTTTATTTACTCCATTCATATAATCCAAGTTTTCTCATTTGTCTGTGTTTTAACATGGTCTCTTTTAGGGGTCAAAAAAAGCTTGGGCCACGCCCAGATCGGTCTTCTTTAGGCGTTTAATTCAAAATTTCCGACGAGCATCCCCACCCCTTTCATATGCAGAGTCCCCCCCCCGGATGTAGAACCCCAAATGACTCTGAAGTTTAGTCATTAGGGTTAGGAAACTGAGTGGAGATCAGTGAATCAGGTTCCATTTAGAGTCAGTTTGACGGGAAAATTGGCCTGAAACTTGATTCACTCAGTTTCCTAACCCCAGTCACCAAACTTCAGAGTCATTTGGCGTTATGCATTCTGCATTCAGCGTTCTGCTTTCTGCAAAATATATACCCTTGTCGATAACAAACAAGTTATATCTTTGGCCCGGCGACTTCGTAGACTCGGTTGCAACACACCAGCATTTAGTAGTCCACATGAGGGTTTCTCATGGTAGCAAGATAAACTGCTATCTCACGGAGCGAATCAGGCATCATGCGCGAAATTGTCAGCTAACAACGTTATGAAAGGCGTAAGGGACTGTCAGCAAATTAAAAGCGCCTGTGAAGAAATCCTAGAGAGACAAAGATTTGCGAACTATTTTACAGCCCGGCTAATCCAGAATGTGAAATCATCGCAATAACAATAATAACGCGTGTTTGCAAGACAGTGACATTTTAGAAAAAATTCCTCAGGGGAATTGTGATTGTGTAAATATAATTATGATAACATTTCTAACTTGAAAATATGCAAATTTTAACGATATCGACTTGCACATCAGCCATGAAGTTCAAGTAGTATGGTTTATTGGTTATCAACGTTATTGGTTTGGGTTTGTGCTGAAATATTTTTCTGGAATCCAAGTCCCGCGCATTGTAAGTACAGTTTTGAGTTAAAGTACTTCTCGGTTTAAGGAAAGAATCCTGCTCGATGTTTTTTTACGTTTCAAAAAATATAGACCTCTTACAGTATCCAGAAAATTTAAATGTGTTATTGTGTAAATCCAAGAATAGAAATAAAAGTCGATTGGGTCGATCAGTACGGTGGTTTACTCTCGGAAAAAAAAACAATCATGGTAGCTGGTATAATGTAATCCACGAACGTCAAGATTTCGGGGAAAGCGGAAAATATTATACTGTATAATAGAAACATCAAGAGCCTAGCCGAGCTTTGTCTAATGTTTACGAGAAACCGCGGTCTCAACTCAGCGGCGAACTGACTCAATGAGGGACTGGACCGTGAACGTGATTTTGAATCTCATCGTAAGATAAGATCGTCCTCTAAGATCCCGGCTCTGAACTGACGGGTGCGGACTGATACAACTTTTGAAGACTGAACTAGGGGAGAAAGAAGTTTGTTCGTAGCTGGCTGATCTGCACATTCGGTTTAGTGTGCGGCCTCAGTTCTGTGCGACGAGAGCTTCCTCTGAATTGAGTTTGATTCCCAGTGGGACCTCAGATCCTTGTTCCGATATCTTTCGTCTCCTTGTAGCCAAAAGTAGCTTTATGAATACCCGTAAAACAGAGCCGCGCTGATGGATAGAAGGGTGGCGCGGGGGGGATTAAAAGCCCATCGTCGTCCTCAGGTTTGTCAGTTTAAGTAAGTAAGGACCTTTACTTTCACCCTGTTTTTATTGGTTTTTTCCTTCGTTGTGACTTATTCATGTACTTTAAGTAATAATAGGCCCTTTGTAGCTAGCCATTCATGCGGTACAAAACCTCCGTGCTGGAGAACAAAAGTCGCACTGGGACAAGACATACAAAGAAAATTACCATTTCAAATTATGTATGTCTTTTGTTTGTCTTGTCCCTGTGAGACTTTTGCTCTCCAGCGTGGCGGTTTCTTACCACGTGAATGGCTAGCTGCAAAGGGCCTATTTAATTTTTAAAAAAAGTCTTAAAGCGACAACCTGATTTTTATGACTGTGCGTACTTCATCTTTTTTTCGTTTCGCAGGTTATGATGAACTTGCCAGTGCTGTTACTACGGAATGTTCTGCCAGCAATTTGACCATTCATTTGATTACTACTCTTCTTCCAAATTTTGATCATACCAATTTTCATCTAAATAACGAGACTTGTAAAGGAAATCAGTTCAATGATACGCATATCATTTTTTATACTAGACTGAATGAATGCGGCACATTTATACAAACTTACAATGACTCGGTGACTTATATCAATTTTTTGCAAGGATACTACAAGGAAAAGAGTAATCATTCTGAAAAGATCCCTGCAAAGTTGGAAGTGAAGTGTAAGATACGACGCCAACATTTTCCACAGGAGAACGTTAGCAAATCACTCTCCATACCGAAAGCTTCTATGAAACCTCGAAATTCGGTGAACGCGTCTTCGCTTCCTTTTGTAACAAAAATTCATTCATCGGGGCAACCGACGACAAAGCCTTCATTGAAAACGGAGATTGAATTTTCAGTTAAGCCGACAGCAAAAATGGCATCGGAGATTTCAGTTGAAAAAGAAAAGACATCGCCTTCGCCTTTAAAACTGGAAGGAAAAAAGTCAGCGAAACAGGAAAACATACCATTGGCCGAACCATTGGTACAATCATTGGCACAAACACTAGCACAAGAGAAAGGTAAAATACTAAAAAGCCGTATGGGTGATGGTATTGATGTAGTGTCATACTCTTGCTTAATTAAATTGATGCAACCTATGCATACTGCTTGAAGATATTGTCTCTTGCATGAGTCCACTCCATGCCTTTTTGTCTTGGAAAGCGATGCTAAATGAGGACGAAAAGTCAAACCAATCCAAGTAAGGATTAACTTAAAGTAGGGGCTTGTATCTTTAATCCAGCTGATCACAATGTCTGTTTTTATTTTTTCCTTTTCTTTTTCTTAGTAAAAAAGGACTTAAATTCTGATGCACCCATAACATTCAAGGCTCGCTTTAACACTCTGCAAAGTTTTAAGGCTGGAGAAAGTATCCGATATACCGCTCAGTTATTTGCAGAAAACCAGACGCAGTACTATCTTTCTATAGACCAGTGCTCTGTATTACTTGAAGAGAAAGGAGCAAAGACGAGGAACATTTCTTTTATAGAAGACGGGTAAGAGCCTTCATAGGGTGTTGCGGGCAGCCATGACAAGTGATCCGGCTTCCTTGATGCAGACTATCTATGGAGCTTGACAATAAAAAGTTTCAGAATACTGACAGCAATTTTCAACTTTTCACCGAAACTCTCTTTTCCATGAATTAGCTCATTTGGTCAATTTGATTTTTTTATGTCATTTGAGAGTGGAAACTTAATAAACTCATCATTAATATTCGTGAAACTTTTTTTGTTGTTGTTGACAGTTGATCAGTTCAATAGATTTGTAGTGTTACTTCTTTCATACAAGACAAAGCTCCCTACAAGAGGAGTAGCATTCCGCTTTATATTTTTGGATTGCAGGATACTTGTGCAATATGCCGGCTTAAATCTATCTTCCTATTTTATCCGGTACACCTAAGAGAAAACGTGTCAAAGTAAAAGACTGCTTGTTACTGAATGACTGAGTCTCCACAAATGAAGACAAAGAAAAAATCTTCAAAACAGTTTCTTGAGAGCATTCATTTGTAGTTTTACTTCACGTTGTATGTGTTGCTGTTGTTACTTTACTTCAAATTATATTTTAGACAATATAACACGATCATAATCTTAAGTTCAATTTAATTTACATGTTTTATTTTCAGATGTGAGACAAGACCAGCTTTAGTGAACTTTATTTTCCAGCCTGTTTCCTGGTCGCAGACATTCAACCTTAAAGTTCCTGGTCATTCCAGATTAAAAAATACAAAGTCGTTGATTGTCACCTGCAAATTCCTACTTTGTTCGAAAAAAGACCCTCTTTCATTGTGTGTGACTGGTTGCAGAGGATTCAAGAGAAAAGAGCTTAAAGGATCTGAACCAGCGGCGGACAAACTCATGTTTTTCCTGCATGTGGGACCGTTACCTATCATCACTAACGAGCAAAACGGTGAGGACGAAAAACTGACATTGGGTTAATTATAGAATACTTCATGGATCAGTGTGCGCGCGCACGGTATATTTTCGCACGTGTTGTTGACTAATCGGAGGAGTGAAATTTCTGAGAAAGGAACAACGCCTGGGAGTTTGTAAATACCGTACAAAACGCTTGTGCCGTGTGCAGGCACGTAGATAGGAGTTTACAAAGGGGAAGTCACACTGTGCCGTCACACCCAGGGTACTTGCCAGATTCGCATATCGACATCCACGCCGTGTTTTACTAGCTAAAAGGACATCTTCTTGGGGTGAGCAGTTAGCGTAGGGGGAGGGATAAGCCTACAAAATAGCTGCATAGTTGAATAAAGTTTCACCTAACATAATTATTCTATTGTAGTTACAAACAAGGACCGGGTCCTCTGAAGGTACTCGGTCTTGTAAATGTAAATATCTTGCAACGGAAAAGATTTATTGCATATTGATTCTTCGGATTCGCTAGGTTATAAAGACATAAAACAATTATCTGACAAACTAGTGGATCACGGGCACCCCAGAACCCAACCCACCCCACCCCCAGCTACTTATCTGGTGTGATAATGTGGAGACATTCGTCAATCTGTCAGCTTTCATTTTGCATTTTTTCAAAGCGCTTAAACAATAAAATCTGCCGCTACACATCGTAAAAAAACGACGTGTTCTTTTAAGAACTATTATTAACAATTATAATAACAATTGTAATAGTTACTAGTAATCTAAACTTTTTGTTCTGAATCTAAATGTGCCAGCGGAAACTGAATGAATTTGAGACTGGTAAAGAAAAAAAAATCACAATGAAGGAGTCTGGGGCACCCAATGACAATTTTCGGAAAAATATCTGTTCGGAAGAAGATTTGAGATCTAGAATTTTCGGAACATTTGTTGTAAAAATAGGATTTTCGAACATCTAAAAATGGTAAACATTTTTGATTTTTACCCTGAATCTAAATTGTGCCTGAAATTTTCGAACAGGAAACTGAATGAACTTTTGAGAACAGATGAAAAATTTATAGGGGATAAAAATATGCCCATATCCACCGTTTAAATACTAAAACACGTTTAACAATGCTATGTTTAAGTGGTTTTGAACTATATTCTCGTTGGGTGCCCCTGAGGAGTATTGTGAAAGTTGTATAACACTGTTGCCTCTAAAAGCAATTTTTGAAAGGTTCGGCAGTGCGTATCAAGAGAAGAAATAGAATCTTTGTATATTTTTACGGTGATTCCGGCAACAGTTGGCTTATTTGATTGTTTTAACCTTGTTTGATGTTTACTACAGGTCTAAGGATAATAGTCATGGCCATCATAGCCGGTGCATTTTTTCTTGCTGTTGTGGCAGTGTTTATTTTTTTCTGCAAGAATGGTTACCGTAGCAACAAAAGAAAGGACATGTTGTTGGACAATGAAGATGGTCCATTGTCAGATATCGAGACAAGCACTTGGCATCGTAGCTATTCTAAACTATTTGAGGAATCAACTCGACTTGCTGAAACTCAAGATCATTGCCGCATTAAATTAGGAAAGAATAAATCAATTTTTAATATGGCCCACGCAATTGTGTAGACCCTACCCTAAAGCAGTGCTGTTACTCAGTTTTATAGCAACAATATAAAGTAGATTGGTTTTAAAACATAGTTGTTGAATAAGTTTGTTCAGAAATCTCTCTATTTAAGTCGTTGACTCCGCAGTTACTCTGTCTTTACGTTCTGATGCTTTAATTTTACGTATCTTTGTATTAATCAAATAAAAGAGATTTGCACGAAAATTGGTGGTTTAAATTAATGACACAAATCATTGTTGTTGTTGTCATACTGATAATGAGAAATAGAATTAGCCATAAAACAAATTTGAGATCTTTGTGGGCCAGGCTGACGGGGATGTTAGAAGCTCGTGGTGTTCGACAGCTGACACATGACTATCTTCCCGTGCCTATTAGTTCAACTGAAGCACTCTTCGCAAGTTAACATTTTGATACATTCTATATAATTTATAAAGTGACAAGATAGGAAATCACTTCCGTGCGTGGAGCCGGAGCCTTGGATGTGCAATCCTAAATAAACTCTCAAATAAACTTTTGTAAACGTTTCCCAGTTTGAATTCTTCACTTGAAAACCTGTATATTGAAAGTGAATGTTGCAAAGACGGCTCATTAAAGTTCGTAACTTTAAAACCACGTGAATTAGAAAGAGTACGATTTCAAGTAAAGGTACGTGAAAGAACGATTTGCGCGCGCAGAAATATCATTTCTAATTTGCATCCAATGACAAAACAAACAAAATAAAAAGAATTTGTATTCCTTGACCATTGAATGAGAAGTGAACTTGTCAGTTTCTGAGGATCACCGAGAATTCAGAATGGGAAATTGTTTTGCGATTTGTTTCGAAAAAAAAGAAACTTTTTCAGACACATGTCTTGGTGAAAAAAGTGAAAAAAGTTTATCGACAGCAGACATAAGGTCGGAGAAGTCGGAGAAAGTTAGAAACAGTATGCCCAGGGTTCAATCAAAAGTATGGAGGCGGAAGAAGAATCCACGTGTGGCGCCGCTGATCAGATCAACGCGGAGGAGTAATGATGACAGCATTGGTGATACTAACAGCAGCAAACTGACACTTCAGGGAAGCTGTACACATTTTCTTGATCCGGTGTCTGGGTCATCAGAGAGTATAATTAAGTCCGTTAGTGACATTTTTGAAATAAGCCGCCTCAATATTAAAAGAAAGAAAGACCTGAGCAGCCGCCGCATCATCCGTCCGGCTAACATTAGAAGCATCAGCAACAGCAGCAGATCAAGAGAAGGTAAACTGTCTAGTGTCCGTTCAGCAAGCTACGAGGATTCCAGCCGGACATCGTCAGTAAGTAATTCAGTGCAATCAACATCACTGAGTGTCAAGATAGAGCAGCCAGAAGGTAAAACTCAAGGAAGGCTTATTATAGTTCAACCATGCAGCAGTTTAACACCAAGCTCATATGACAGCTTAAGCTCTGAGAATTTTCCCAACTGGATTTACCCTGGTAAAGTCCGTTCATTATCTGATTCAAATTCATTCGGTTCCTGGTCTGTAAGTCTAGGTCAGTTTGATGACTACAGCGAAGAAGAATCCGCTCCAGTACATCCTTACGATCCCTAAAGAGATTTAACGACGTTCACGCAAACTTACAATGTTACATTGTAAGACTCTGTATCACTGAATCTGATTCACAACTCTACACTGTGAAAAGTGAATGATTCACGGACGTACCTCTGTTCCTGCAAATGAATACGTGTTTTGTAGTACTTAAAAGACAAAACCACCGGAAATTAAGGTGATGATATGGAATGGTATGGACTGGATTGGAGATATGTCATCACATTCCAGGTTCAAATCAGAAAGAGCCACAGGCCTCAAGAGAAACAGTGCCACGAAGAAGCATGAAGAAGAAACTAGAATATTGGATCATTGAGAAATTTCAATGGTTTCAGCTCTCTCGATCGATCATCACTTATGTGAGAAACTAATGGAAGTAGGCGTCTCCTTCAAACGCAATCAAATGAGGGGACATGTGTCTCCCGCCATGGATTAGGGCCATCACTGAGAAACCACAGCACTAAGACTGCAATTTTTTGAGTGCAATACTTAATTAAAAAAAAAAACAACAATAAAAGCAAATGACAATGTTTCAAATATTTAATAAAGCATCAACCCATTTGTTTTACATAGACCGAGTTAGAAACATGCCAAAACCCTCGAAGTAGAAAAAGAAAAACAAACGAGTATTGTTCAAAGTTATTCGCCTCGGGATCTGCAAGAGGTCCTCGAATAGACTCAGTAAAAAAATAAATAAATAAAATGGTAATTATTAAAAAAAAAAACGGATTGTCTCAATTCATTTAGCTCTGTTCGCATCCTTAAAACTGAAAACGAAAACGACAAGATTCATTGCGGGGGCCTGTTCTACAGGGCTGATCCGCTTTCCAGGGCTGGTTCGCGGGCTCGAAGATAGATTTTGGCGAACGGACCTGTTGTCAGATACGCTACTACTTGTTAAACTACAAATCAAAACTTAAAAGTAAAAGACTTCATTCGATTTTAACCCATTTGAACAACTAACAGCAAAAACTATAAAAATATTAAGAGTTTGATAATTGTAAAAGATCTAGATATTTTGATTTTGTTGACCACCCAGTGTCAACCTTAGCTTCCTCTCTGCATCTGGTATTACTTATGACATGACTCTCGCCTGGGTCCAAATTGATTCACAGGGTTTTAAAGCTGGTCCACAATTTTGCGGCGCTGTACCGATCACCTCACCTCACCTCACCTGTCCTCTTGGTGCCTCGTAGCACATAAGGCCTTCACAGAGTCCCTCCACTCATCTCGGTTAGCTGCAACGGTTTTCACTTCCTGTTGTGAGGACCGGCCACAGTGTTCCCATGATATAGTGAATTTTTCATGCTTCTGCGGTTTCTTTAATAAAATTTTTTTATGGGAGAGGGTTATCAGGCCTCAGCCCTTGGCCCAGCCCCCAACCTAGAGGACCAGACCAGAGGGCCACACTTAGACTGGTCTCTATCCTTAGACCTGTTCGACAAAAAGACTTCAGCCGACATAGTGCTATGGGTCGTTGAGACACGCAAACCACTCCACCACAGTAAGGTGGTGGTCCCTTTGGAGTGGAACCCTGTACCCGACAGGTGGTCAAATTGACTGCAGTTACATCCGTAAACCTGAAGAAGGTTGATATGGCCAGCTGAATTATTGTTATGAAAAAGCAACACACGTTGTTATCATTAGCTTTGCAGGAGTCTTTGGACTTCTTGTTGCTATGTTCCTTGTGATATACCCTGCCGACGAGTCCAAAGAAAGACATAACATGAGGTGTGGGGTGTCATCATTGTGTGTGCATAGATAGTCAACTTCCTCTTAACGGATACCTCTATAACGCTATATATTAAGACGGACACCTCTATAATGCTATATATAAGACGGACACTTTTGAAACCGTCAACGGACACTTGAGAATTGCATTATTCACTGTAAAAATACCTCAAAACGGAAATGAAGGTGCAGCTCTAAATGACAGTAAATTGTAATGAAATTTTTAATATTTTGTAGTCTTTCTCCACTGTCCAGTTCGCAGCGTGCAGTCACAGTGTTACAGTTTAGACAACAAAGCTTTAAACTTTTGCTCACAATGAATGTTTGATTGTTTAATAAGAGAATTATTCCATTTTTCCGTTGCAATGTTACAGTTTTAGCTGTTTGTATAAGTTAAACATATCGAAGCATACGATTATTCAATGCAAATGAGTTCAGCTTAAGTTTTTACTGGTGTCACGTTACCTTGACTCCCTATAAGCCGGAGACCTCTACAGGACAGACAGTGGGGACTGGTCCTGAAGGTGTCCGTTTTAAAGAGAGTTGACTGCAGTTAGACCGAAAGGCCACGAGTTCGGACAACGTGAACAACGCTCTGATATAGGTCAGTGGACTGAAATAATAGAGGGATATATTTAGAGTTGCGTTTACGGCAAACGGCGAACGTCAGATTCAAGTTGAGAAGTTCTAAAAAAGGAAAATAAGCAGATAAAAATTGTCCAGAACAATTCTTCGGGATAAAATTGGCATGAAACAAGTTATTTTTGTTTAGAGATATTAAATAAACGGTACACGATAACTGAGGGAAAAACTTAGTCACGACCTACAAATTTGCGTAAACGTGACTCTAATCACTCTAATATAATATACAGAAGAGGATTTTGTCCGCTTCCTTTTTTATTTAACTTTCACGGAAGAAAAATTCGTTACCCAAGGTATTTCCAGGTATTTGTAACGTGATTCTGGCGATTTACAAAATCGGCTATTTAATTTGCCCAGAGCTGGACCAGGAGAAGGCCTGGGCACAAGGCTCAACATGAGAGTAGCCTGGGACGAAACAAATACAAAATGGCGGCCAATAGCTACCTGAACGAAATGCGGCGGTACTTTGAAAATAACTCCAGAACGAAAGACATTGTTGCTCATACGGCCAAGGTGAGTAAAAAAAAACGAATGTTAACTTCTCTATGTTGCCTAATATTTATTTTTATGCGTAGTCGGTCACGTCACTGTAATTTGGGGCATGTTTTTTTAGGTTCACTCAGTAGCGTGGAGCTGTGATGGAAGAAGACTTGCATCTGGCTCCTTTGATAGAACTGTCAGTATTTTCGTGTTGGAAAAAGATCGTTTGGTGAGTTATTTATGAGAGGTGCCAGAAATGCTTTTTGATTCATGTACACAAAACACTAGCGAGAAATAGGAAGCTGTAGTCCGGGATATCCTGTAAAAAGCACAGGGCAACCACACAATCTGTTTGCGTAACCGATTGTTATTTTATAGTAAATGTACTGGATTTACCGTTTGCCTCACCTATACCGATATATCGCTAACTATGTATATGAATCAATGATAAATATACGTTGAATTACCTTACCTGTGGTATATAGTCGTCCTTTTGTCTGAAAAGCGGTTTTTTGAGCGATTTTGAAGTTTTCGACCTTTTTGCTGCGAAGTTTGAAAGCGGAGCAGTGCGATTTTCGTGGGAAAAATCGCTCCGGTGCTGGAGCCCTTTCAAAACAAGGATTCCTCCCTTTTCCTTCTATCATAAGGAACAGTCAACGGCGAACTCAAACTCCTTCAAATCGCTCAAAAACCACTTTTGAGGCAAAAGGACGAATATATACCACAGGTAAGGTAATTCAGCATTTATTTATCATTGATTTATATGCATAGTTAGTGATATATCGGTATAGGTGAGGCAAATGGTAAACCCAGTACATGTACTATAAAATAACAATCGGCTACAAAAACAGATTTGTGTGGGTGCCCTGTGGTAAAAGTAAAAAAAACACTCCATATTAAGCCTTATATATGTTTAAGGCTATTGTTTATTTCATTATTATAGTGATACATTATTATATCCAAAATCAAAAGAAAATGAAGTTTAAACCTAGGAGAAAACTAAATCACAACATGTTTGTAAGAGGAAAGTCTAATAGAGCATTCTATTTCCCTTATATTTAATCAATCAATGTTCACATACATACTTTTAATTGTTTGTATACCTCACACCTGTATATATCCTAGTTAATGCAACTAGATCTTAATGTTTTAGATAGGCAGGTCCACATTAGGCTCGATTACCAGCCGCTGTTCGGGAAAATGAGCCCGCACTCATCCCCCGAAAGAGCGGCTGGACGCGTGCGATTTCTTTTGTTAGTTTAAGCCAATCATGTTACCGCCTGCAGATTTTCGTCTGGCAAAGATTGTCGCAGAAATTATCACAACAAAATTTATCCATCGCATGGCGAAGCGATTTCGACAGCTTGGAGACCCTAGACGAAATTCTAGAGTAGGAAGGAACACAACGTTTTGTTCGATTGTTCGTTGTGAACTTTTCCTTTAATGATTGTTGTTGGAGAGATTTTGCATCTTCAAGGATCTTTTCAAGGCGCTTTAAGTCTCGATAACTGCGTTCGTTACAGATGTAACCGTCCACGTTTATATTTGACAGAGGAACATTCAATACGCTGGAAATTCTGTCCGGTAAATCAGAAACTTTTCCATTTAATTTGGTCCGCTCCCGAGAATCAGTCAGTTCGGACCCACAGAAGACGCAACCAATATTCGAAGATCAAAGAAAATTAACTATGTGTCGCCGTGTACAGAAATGTAACGGAGAATATTTTTCACAATGTATGGAAAAGTGTACCGAAAAAGCTATTTCGAAAGTCATTTGGGTGGGTAAGGGAGCACTTGATGCAATTTTGAGCCAAATAAATAAGAAAATTGGAGACCGGTTTCACTTCCAGTGACATCGAAGACGCCTGAATTATCAATTTTCCAATTACGTCACAGACAAGGTCAACGGGTCACGCGTCCAGCCGTCTCTCTTCGGGGAGGATCAAAGACCGGACCCGGGAGACGGCGGAAATCGAGCCTAGGTCCACATCAGCCTCTGGCTGACTTTTACCAACCTGCGTTAACAAATAAAGCTATGTATGTATGTATGCGTGTATGTTTTAAATCGTTTCTGTTTCTCACTGTGTTTCTTTATCCCCTTTTTAATCACTCCCGTGCCCCTTCTCTTCTAAAGAATAAGAGCTAGCTCAAACCATGAATTTGCTTCAGTTTGTCCAGACTTCTAAAGGTATTGTTAAAGGTGACCAAAATTACTGAGATTCATATTCCTATTGATGATTGAAAATAACCAAACTGGTGATGGAGAAATTTCATTGCATTAGTTTATTGTACTAATAAAAGTCAAGGTCAGGGTTGATTGATACAGCTGTACATACATACATACATATTAGTAATCACACGAGTAATCATTGATCGTTTATTGTGACAGTGCTGTTTCGTATGTTCTGAAATTGTAGGACCACACTCATCAGGCAACTTCAACGATTGACCGTTGAAATTAAAATTGGGTGGTTGTTATAGGGATGTGTTAAGAGATTGTATCTAGGTAACAGATGAGTTGTGTCTTAGTTACGTTACTCTAGAGTTCTGAAGTACTTATCTGTTTCTGTGGGGGCATAAACTCATTAGTTCGTTTCGCCTGTTTAGGCTACAAAGCTCTATTTTACAAATGATGATGAACTTTTCATAAAGACAAAGATTACATTTTTTGCTAATGTTGCTATAGGGTTTACATTTCTTTAAAACTTTCCATTTTATCTGGAAAGGTTTCTTAGAGTCTTGTAAAATCCAAATATATTTTGAGAGTTCCGTTTCATTTCTTCTGTTCGAGTGTCGAAGGGAGGACTGATCATTTTTGTAATGTTCCTTAAAGTTTGTTGCCAGTCCAATGTAAGTTTCAGTTGTCGTCGCTGTGATTACAGTGGCTTGGTAGAATACATTTGATTGGAGACATTTTCCTTCAAGTGGACAATCTGGTTTCTTTCTGCAATTGCAGGTGTCAGGTTGTTGCGTTGGTGAGCTGAAATTTGAAAGAATGTACTTGTTGTGGGATGAGATGACAGGTTTCATGTTAGGCATGCATGAGTACATGTAGCTCAGTTTTTGTGTGTGTCTGTTGAAAATCTTTTGGAGTGGGTAGTTTTTTAGAAAGCATTTGTCGATGATGTGCAGAAATTTTCTACCAAGTTTAGTTCTGACGTTTGAGTTGAAAGGAGGGTTGTACCATGTGATGTTTCTTGTTCGTTTTCTTTTGTTTTTCGGAGCTTGCCCTTGTGCGGGGTTGCATGTTAACTTGTGTTCGTATCTGTTTTCTGTTAGAGCTTTCTGGTAAGGGGCAATGGATTTGTCAAATACTTCTTTGCTGGATGAGATGCTAATTAACCTTTTGTTAATGTTGAGTGGGATATTCTTTAGTAGTGCTGGGGGGTGGTTGCTCTGTTGGTGGACATAGGACAGTTTATTACTGGGCTTCATGAATGGCTTGTGGCACCCGTTTGTGAGGTTGAAGGTCACATCAAGAAAGTTGACGACCTTTTTGTTAGCTTCAATTGTGATTTTAAGGCCATTCGATTTGAACACTTAACAGACTTCTTGCTTGGTTTTTTCAATTTCTTTTAGAGTGGCCTTGCAAATTAAGAGGCCATCGTCACGGTACAGACCAACTTCATTTTTGAATTTTGGTGCTATCAAGGATAACATGTAGGCTCCTATTAACTCGCACGTTTCTCCTTCGTCGTAAGAGCCCATGGTGACATCAAACACTTTTTTTTTTTACTTTTTCGCATGGGTGATGATGTGGCAGTCTTGTTAGGTGATGGTGGTGAATCGTGAGGCATAGTTAAATGCTTTCAGTAACACGTCTTCAGATATGGATGGGTAAAAATCGCAGACGTCAAAGGTGATAAATGAGTGTTTTTCCTTTTCCGGTATATCTTTAAACCATTCTATGGTATCTTTGGTAGTTTTCCACAGGTTCACTTTAGTCGCTTGTGTAATTTTGTGGTATATTAAGTCGAGGATGTTTTTGCTGATGATGCCAATTTCGGTTTTGCATGGATTAATGAGT